GTGAACTTGCTCAGCACCTGGCCTTCTCCCCGTGCCCTGGGGACAGGCTCCCCCCTCCACTGTGAAGGCCCCTCCCCGCCGCTGCCCCCCCTAGCCGCTAGACAATCCGGCCAGACTGGCCGGCCCGGGGCTCTCCTTGAAGCCAGTACTCTGGAAACCCCCATCTTCATATCTTTGTTTTACTGCAATGATAACAGTAGTAAATGGGAAAATATCTAAATAAAGGACATTGGTTCTGTTAACCTCAATGATACACACTGACAGTTATTGGGGAGCCTGGGTGGCTCAGTCGGTTGGGAATCCTACTTCGGCTCAGGTCATGACCTCGCGGTGGGTGGGTTTGAGCCCCATGTTGGGCTCTGTGCTGACAGCTCAGAGCCTGAAGCCTGCTCCGGATTCTGTGTCTGCCTTTCTCTCTGCCCCTCCCCAGCTCACGGTCTGTTATCTCTGTCTCTCAAAAATAAATAAATGTTAAAAAAAACAACAACAAAAACCCCACTGATAGTTATTTCTTTTACCAGGAACAGAGGGGTTTACTCAGGAGTAAAGGAGGATTACAACCCGGGACAAACAGGTTGTGGCTAAACCAGGGCAAGTGGGGGGAACAGGGGAGAAAAGGAGAAAGTTGGGAGGGCCCATTCCAAGGAACAGTGTGTGGAGGAGACTTCCAGTGGCCAGTGTGGTGGCTTCTTGCTGACGGAGCTGCTGGCAGGAGGTGGGGGCAGTGCCCACTGCAGGGGTAGTGGGAGCACGACCACGTGCAAGGTCACATCCAGGTAAGGTCAAGGTCAGCTCTTCCTGGCGGTCTGCAGTCGACTTCGGGCAGCGAGCTCCCCCTGCCTGAACCTCCCCCCCCACCCCAGTGAGGTTTCCCGTTACTGACTTTCAGTCACATCCATTCAAGAATGTAGTAACGTCATATTCTGTCCTAATATAAATGGAATAGTCTGTAGTGGGAGGAGATGATTTTGTTAACTTATGATGGAGTTTGGGTCAGCAAACACCCCTCTTCTCATAAGCCTTGGGACCCCCTAGCTCCCCACTGTTGGCAACCAAGTGGAGCCAGGACTGGTTGGCCAGCTGAACCCAAAGAACTTCACTGAAGGACATGCTTCTTCTCAGGCCACGTTCCCGTGGTGAGGGGAGTCAGGGGCTGTCCTCTTCCCTCTGGCCGTGTCTTTCTGCTCCAGATCCTGACCTTCCAGTCTCCCCACCTCTTTCTTATACCAAGCCTGTCTAGGTCCCCCCCCACCCCCAAATTCACATGTTGGAACCCTGGTTTTAGGAGGTGGGCCTTGAGAGATAATTAGGTCATGAGGGTACAGCCTCCTGGATGGGATCAGGGCCCTTGTGAAAGAGCTGCCGTGTGTGACCCCTTCCACCCTGTGAGACCACAGCAAGAAGTCCGCAACCCTCCGCAGCCTCCCAAACCGTGAGAAGTAAGTATCTGTTGTTTATAAGCCTCCAGTGCGTGGATTCACTATAGTTGTCCAAACGGGCTAAGATGCCATCCAATCAGCAACCCACCTCCTCCTGCAAAGGCAGTATGGTTCCTCAAAAATAAAGCATCTTTATTATACAAACTTCCAGACCCTTGGCAAGCCACAGCACCTAACACTAGTACATCTATTCCTATCAGAAACCAAATCCCGTAGCTCTGATAGATCTCTGCAGCTCAGCAAGGTTGATCACGGAGCCCCAGCAGCAGAGTCCAGAGCTGACCTAGGTCAGAGCTGTGGACTCAGGCAGCAGGGTAAATGGTGGTCATCTGCCCCCCCCCCCCGCCCCATTCACATCCACCTGGAACCTCAGAATGTGACCTTATTTGGAATAAGCGTCTTTGCAGATGTAATTAAGATAAGACATTTCGAGACAAGGTCATCCTGAGTTAGGGTGGGCTTTTAGTTCAATGACTGGGGCCCTTTTAAGAAAAGAGGAGAGGACTGTTGGGGTGGCAGGGAGCGGGGGGGCGGGGGGGAGGGCAGGCAGCCACTGGAGGGACCAGCCACGGGCCCAGACCTGCCTGGACCCTCTCTGTGAGGCAGGAAGCACCCTCCCCTAGAGCCTGCAGGGGAAGCACGGCTGTCGACCTTAGAACTCTGGCCTCTGGAGCTGGGAGAGAAGAAATTTCTGGTGTTTGAAGCCACTCAGTTTGTTGTGGTTTATTATGGCAGTGCCAGGATGGAAAAACACAGGGTGCTATGAACTGAATTGTCTCCCTTGCCTCCCTCAAATTTCTATGTGGCAATCCAAACCGTCAATGTAGTATCTCCAGTATCTGGAGATAACAGGGCTTTTAGGAGGTAATAATGTCAAATGGGGTCATGAGGGTAGGGTCCTGTTTTGATGGGATTAGTGGCAAGGGGCGAGGCAGAGATCTCTCTCTTACTGTCTCTCCATAGCACACAAAGAGGCCACATGAGCCAAGAGAGGATGCCTCAGGACGGAGTCTACCTGCCTGCACTTTGACTTGGACTTCAGGTCTCCAGACTGTGAGGAGTAAGTTGCTGTTATTCAAGCCTCCAGTGTGGTGTTCCGTTGTGTCAGCCTGAGCTGACTGCCACACCAGGTACCCCAAGCCCACGGTGATATGGAGGGAGCAAAGGAAGGCCCCTGGCTAGCACTAGTGGCTGGAGTGTCAGCAGCCTGACCACATGCTCTCTGGAATGCTGCTGGCAGGCAGCGCCCAAAACACAGGAACCCGAAGGAGTGGTGGCCCCCTGAGCCAGGGCAGAGTCCTGGCCCCAGAGGCCAAGGACAGGTGCAAATAGCACCAAAGTGAACTTTTGAAAAGGTCCACAGGGAGGTTTGGAAGATCCTCCCAGGGACCTCTCTGAGCTGGAGGTGGAAACCGGAAATAGCTAGATGAGATTCATCTTAGAAAAATGCAAGCTCACATATCTGGGCAAAACTAATCCACATCACAGCATGAGACAGCCGCGGTATAGAGCGGGTGAGAGCATCGGTCCCCAGGGCAGCTGCAAGGGCCCAGGCAAGAGGTCATCTGTGCAGCCTGACTTTTTGAGGGGTGGTCTCGGCATGGGGAAAGTCCCTGAGGCTAGGGACTTAGGGGTCTGGCAACCCCAAGGCACGTTTATTGGAAGTAGAGGGCTGAAGCTTCCATTTCCCAGCGGGTCAGATGGCGACCTGATGGTCCACAGTGTTGCGGAGAGGAGCACCCCACCCAGCAGTGTTGTGGCCTCGCCCACTGGTGCCCAACCTCCACTCAGTGGGCACAGAGGGTTCCCCTCCCTGATCCTCCCTGGGTGTGGGAAGGCCCATGTTCCTCCGTTTTGCAAGTTGCCCCGTGTTTTAAGCATTCAGGTGTGATGGGTCATTAGAAGTTAGAGACACAGGACACAAGAGGAAAGGAAATCGTTCTAGGGGAGAGATGGCTGCTCCCTGAGGAGAGGCAGGACCCACATGTGGGGAACGAGGCTCTGACCCCTTACACAGGCCCTGGGAGCTCCTCCTTCCCTGCTGGCCAGAGAAATGGGCACAGGGAAATGAGAAAGGGACCAAAGCCCAGGCCTCCTGGCTGAGGAGTGAGCGTCCCGTGGCCCAGGAGGGCAGGTGGAGGCAGAAAAGGCCTCTCTCAGCCCTGTGCCTAGTGCCCTTGACAGGAGGCCCCAGGGAGAGGAGATCAAGGAGAGGGGCAGGAACAGGTTACACCTGGTCTGTCCCACCTGTTAGTCTGAGCATAGGCTAAACCTGCTTCAACAAAAAGATTCCAACATGTGGCACCTGAAAATAAGAGAGGAGCAGCTCCCTACTGTCAGGATGTCAGCTGTCCCAGCCTGATCTAGACAATCAAAAGAATCCCTATGTTGGAAAAGGCATTGCTGGGTGTGATTTTTGTTTTCATTTTGTTGGATATGGTTGCCAAATTGGCTTCCAAGAAGTCCTTTCTACAAAGTGCCAGTCCCCTCACATCTGACAAGTGCCCAGGTCAGGCAATCCGGTGGGAGTTTACTGAGTAGTGTTTCTTCTGTGGCATTCCTCCCGGTGTTCCTGCCGATTTTTCCATTAGATCACTGTCTTTTTCTTATTTATCTGTGGATAGTTTCACAATTACAGGAATTAGACAATTTCAAAATACATCGCAAATATTTTCCCCGGGGTTTGCCTTTTGATTATAATTTTTAACACATTTAAAATGTGAATGTGGTCAAGCTTATCACTCTTTTTCTTCCGTGTCTCCAGGTTTATCGTGACAGACTATGAAAACATTCGTGGACTTTTCAAGACGTTTTTCTGGTTTCTTTTTTAGGTTTGGATGTTTGATCCATCTGGATTGCATTTCGGTGTTAAGGACGGAGGGAGCCAACTTCTATTTTTCCGAATGGCCGGTCAGTGGTACCAACGCCGCTGGACTGGAAAACCTTCCCGGGTTTGAAGCCCTTCACCCTCACCTTCCACCCGGCTCCGCGTCGCCAGGTACAGGAGGAACCCCGCCTGGCCCTGCCCACTGCGGTCGCCGGCTCCGCCCACCCCCGTCGACCCCGCGGGTCCCGCCCCAAGCTACGCTTCCACATTCCATGGCTCCGCCCCAAGCCAGTTTCTGCCCTTTATAGCCCCGCCCCCACACCACTGGACCCGCCCCACGCCCCGCCTCCCAGCTCTCCAGCCCCGCCCCACCCAGCCCTGACCTTCCCTCTCCCCGGCCTCGCCCCTAGCCCCGCCGCCTCCGCGCTTCTCGGCCCCGCCCCAACGCCGGCGCTCTTCCGGTTCGTCCCCGGGCGGCTCTAGGCGCTCCTTGAGTTATTTAAGTAAAAGGCGTGGCCTCTGGTGCTAATGGCATGGAGAAGGGGCGTCGCGCGCGCGGAACTCGTTGGGAGCCTGGGGGCCTACACAGCGCTTCTAGGGGCCTAAGTTGCCTGCGGCTGGACCGGCTCGCACGAGACCGCCAGGTGCCGCTTCCCCTTCCAGCCAGCCTCCGCCGCCTTCCTTCCGACTTTCGCGTGCCTTCTTTCCGGCGCCCGCCCGCGGCCAGAGCCAGGATGCTTCCGAAGCGGCGGCGAGCGTGGGTCGGGTCCACTGGCGGTCCTGCCCCCTCCACGGCGCGCTTCCCCGGCATTGCCATCTACCTGGCCGAGCCGCGCATGGGTCGCAGCCGCCGGGCCTTCCTCACGCGCCTGGCCCTCTCCAAGGGCTTCCGGGTCCTGGATGCCTACAGGTGCGCGGTCGTGGACGAGCTTGTGGCCCAGAGCAGCACCTGCCGAGGGCTCCTGCCCGGGACGCCTTGCGGGGCAGGGGGCTCCTGCCCGGGGCGCCTTCGGGGGCGCTGGCCCGGGTATTCCTCGGGGGCCCAGCTTCTGGAGGCTCCTGCTTTGGGATGCCTGGGGGATGGCACCTGCCCGGGGCGCCTTAGTGGGGGGCGTCGCAGGAGGAGCGCGGGGAGGGTGTGGCGCTTACAGCGGACAGAGTGTCGCCTCTGTGGGTATTGCCATACTGTCGCGCCCAGAGGACACTGCTGCGTGGTGTGAGGGCCTAAGCACAAATTGCTAGTGCTCAGAACTTTGCACGTGACCAGTCACTTTCACAAAAGGTGTTTCTTTACAGCTGAGGATATTGAGATCTAAAACGACTCACCTGCAGCTGACCCCCCAGGGCGGAGGGGCACCTGAGGTTTTTGGATTCCAAGTTCACCCTGGAACTTCATGCTCACGTGGCTTTTCTCTCAATATCCTCTCCTATGAAAGGGTGCTGTAGTTGGGGCCAGGAGTGTTCTGTAGGACAAGAAGAGAACGTCTGCCAGAGAGAGGCCTTGTAAAGAGCCATAGGGGTGCGTGGGGTTAAGGGTTTCAGTGGCTAACAGCCTTCTGCCCTAGGTGAGTTCATCTTGCCCCCTTAGCCAAAGTGACGTCACTCCTCGGGGCTGAGAAAGTGACTTGAGGGAGGTCCAAGAGCAGCGATAATGACAGCCTGAGATTAAAGAACTGCGGTTCCCATAGGTTTGAAGTGGAAAGATCCAGTCCTCCTGCAGCTTTTTTTTTTTTAAGTGAATTAAACATTTTCAGTGGTTAGACCCACTCTGGAGGCGTGTTTAATGTACTGGATGCTAAGACCTTTTGCTTATTAGCTTGTCTAATCTTTGTAACAACCCTACCCAGTGGATATGTTGTTATCTTCTTTAAAGTGGAGGAAATCAGGGCACGGAGAAGGGATGTGCTCAGGGGCATGCAGCATGTATGTGGCAGAGCTGGGGTTCAAACCCCAGCAGTCTGGGTCCCAAGCACTTAGATGGAGACCCACTGGTCCTGCCCACTAGAGAAGAACTTTCTCAGGGGTCAGAGGAGACAGACAGACAGACAAGTGGACACGACCCTGGACTGGGCTTACAGTCACAGGTGGAGCAGACAGGCACGGCTCTGTGGGGTCCTGGAGCGCCAGAGGGGTTCAAGTGCCAGAAGAGGTTCTCTGAGGACGTGACATTTGAGAAATGAGTGGGTGCGCACCAGGCAGAGGGGAGAGGGGCAAAGGCCAGGAGGTGTGGAGCGAAGCAGGAAGGACCTCTGGGCATCACCCCCTCCCCTCTCTCTGCCCAGCTCTGAGGTGACACATGTGGTGATGGAACAGACCTCAGCAGAGGAGGCCAGCACCTGGAAGGAGCACAGGGCAGTGGCAGGCTCTCCACAGGGCCGCACCAGCCCAGTGCTGCTGGACATAAGCTGGTTCACGGAAAGCATGGCAGCTGGGGAGCCCGTGCCTGTGGAGCCCCGGCACTGCCTGGAGGTGAGCTGGGGGGAGGGCTGCAGGGGCAGGCCTCGCCCGGCGGGTCAGGTGAAGTGTCATCACCGGCTGCCGTTAGACGAAATGGGCAGGAGGGCTCAGCGCAGGCCACCGGGGACCCTGGGAGGCCAGGCCATCCTGGCTTCTGCTGTCACCTGGCATAAGCTCTTGGGATCCACCTGTTTTTAGCACATTCAGGCCTTTCTTGCTCAAGTGGTGAGATGGTACCTCCTCGCGAGACAGCAGGATGCTGTCCTCAGGTGCTGTGGGTCTGTGGCCTCTGTCTGCCTTGGTGCTTCCTGGTGAGCAGAGCTGGGGTGAGGGGATGGACTCAGAGCCAGGCTCTCCATGTTTGAGCCCCACGTACCTGTCTATGAGATGGAGTGACCAGCACTCTGAGCCACGTGACAGAGAGGGCTGGGGAAGTGGAGCACAGGCTGCATGTGCAATGACAGGAAATGTCCTCCGTCCTCCGCCGGAGCTGCTACTCTGGCCTGAGGAGCCCTCCTCACCCTGCTCTGCAGGGCAGGGCTGCTCTACGCCTTCTGTCCTGGGAGCCGGCCCCGCAAGCCCCGCAGCCTCCAAGTGGCCTCTGTATTGCCCATCTGTAGGTGGCCGTGCCCGGGAAAGGGCTGCCAGGCTCAGTATGGATGCCACAGTATGCCTGCCAGCGCCCCACACCCCTCACACACCACAACAGCAGCCTCACGGTGAGCCCCGGGCTCCCAGCCTCCCTGGGATGGGCCCAGGCCTGTTCCTGTGAGCACTGCCACTCTGCCCTGCCCCAGCCTGGGGACGGGTGGTGGAAGGGAGGGTGGGGTGGGGTACCCTTCCCCTCACCCAGGCCCCCTCCTCGCAGGAGCCTCTGGAGATGCTGGCGGAGGCGGCTGGCTTTGAGGGCAGTGAAGGCCGCTTCCTCTCCTTCTACAGAGCGGCCTCGGTGCTCAAGGCCCTTCCGAGCCGGGTCACAGCCATGAGCCAGCTGCAGGGGCTGCCCCACTTTGGAGAACATTCCTGCAGGGTCATCCAGGTAGGTGTTCACCACCCTTAGCAGGGTGGTTGAGGAGAGGAGGGAGTGGAGGTGGTTAGTGGTTGAGTCCAGCCGTGGAGATTTCCAGGCTGAGGCAGGTCACCCTCTGCTCAGATTCCTCATCTGTAAATTGGGGCCACACGATGTGGCTGAGAGGGACCAGACAGGACTGGTAGCTGGCACTGTTGGCATCGGCCCAGCTGTCCAGGACGGTAAAAGAGAACCCATGACTATAAGCACCACTTCTTAAAACACAAAGTATTTGGGGCACCTGGGGGGCTCAGTTGGTTAAGTGTCTGACTTTGGCTCAGGTCATGATCTCACGGTTCGTGGACTCAACGAACTCTGTGCTGACAGCCCAGAGCCTGGAGCCTGCTTCAGATTCTGTGTCTCCTTCTCTCTCTGCCCCTCCCCTGCTAACACGTTTTCTCCCTCTCTCTCTCAAAAATACACATTAAAAAAAAATTTAAAACAACAACAAAGTAAGGACCCAAAATGTTAAAATGTCTTTTTGTACACTTATCACTGAGAATATATTGTGACAAAAAGACTTTTGATTTCAGTTAAACTTTTAAAGGAAGTCTCATTGAATGCACCGCCTGTGTTTTGAAAAGCAGTGTTTGGGGCACCTGGGTGGCTAAGTCGGTTGAGCGTCTGACTCTTGGTTTCAGCTCAGGTCATGACCTCATGGTTTGTGGGTTTGAGCCCTATGGACAGTGCAGAGCCTGTTTGGGACCCTCTCTCTCTGACCCTCCTCTGCTCACACTGTCTCTCAAAATAAGTAAATAAACTTTAAAAAAGAGAGAAAAGCGATGGTTTCCCTGTCCTGGGACTTGTAACTCATTTGAGAGCTGGCCTGTCTCTGGGCCGAGGGGCTTTGAGGCCAGGAGATTTGGTGGCTCCCTGGGCACAGTCTCTCCTCCAAGTCCCCCTGCATCCTGACTGGATGAAACTGCCCTGTGTAGTGTTGGGGTTCCGCCTGCTGCCTGGGCCCCAGCTCTTATCTCCAGTCAGGCTGACTGTTCTGCTTTGTTCCCCAGGAAGTGCTGGCACAGGGAGTATGTGAGGAGGTGGAGAGAATCCGATGCTCAGAGAGGTACCAGACCATGAAGGTACGTGTGGGGCAGACCCTGGTGGGCACATGGAGCCTGTGGCCCTCCCTCAGGTGACAGCACAGCTCCAGCCATGGACGGGAGGTCAGCAGGGGCACCCAGGGGTCAGAGAAGGTCTCACTGAGGAAGTGGCAGCTAAGTTGACACCTGATATGCACGAGGCAGCCAAACAAAGTGGGGCCTGGAGAAGCTTGTTTTTAGCACAGGGAATTTTCTAGATCACTCAGCACCATCTGCTCTGATTGGACCATCTGTGGGGTGTTCTCAAGCATGTTGTATGCTCTGGCATCTTAAACAGAGCAAACTGGACAAAATGTAACCACCTCCTGGGTGTTGCAGGGCCACTCACCCTTGCACGGTCTCCTCGTGTCTGCAGTGCATCTTCCACTGTTCCCATCTGACCTGCTGACACCTGTCGCATCAGCAACCTGTTGGGGGAGTGGGTCACGATGCTCTGGGAGGTGGCCCAGAATGTTGTGAGGGGCAGTGGGGGCTTCAGAAAGGGACGAGAGCCACATGTGACACACGAAAGGCCCCAGGTAGGCAGAGGACGGGAGTGTATGGGCCACATGGGAGTTAGTGGACGAGCACTGATGGAAGGCAGGGTCCTCACCTCTCCCTGGGCACCCAGAGGTCACCCAGGTCAGCAGAGAGATGGGTTAACGATTAGAAGTTTGTAGTCATAAAGCAATAGGTTAGGTTGTTCTGAGCATTTTTTTCTGGCAGGACCCAGCTGGTGCTCTTGGTTCAGGGGATCAAGGGAAGAGTGGGCAGCATAGTCCAAGAAGGGCAGGGCTGCAGCCGTCCTGCATGAAGCAGGGCCCAAGGATCCACTTGCTGCTGGGTACTTCCCCTATTCTGCACGCTGGCTGCTCTGCTGGTTGAGACCTGGCCGCAGAAGGTTCCCTTTCCATGGGTTACAGCCTCCACCACTGCCCAGGCCGGACCTTCTGTTTCAGTTCCAGAAATCCCCAGGGAGGGGATTGGCTGGCACAGGGCAGGTGTCCACCTCTGACCGACAAGCTGTGGTTGGGGAGGAAAGAGGTGATGGGCTGGGGCTGGGGTCCGGGCCGCCCTGTGTGGGAGCCCCGTGTGGCAGGCAGTCCCCGGCAGGAGGTGGGCTCCCGTGTCTATCTTCCAGCCCCAGGCTTGCATTTCCTCCAGCTCCTGCTACAACGACCCTCTGGTTGTTAACTGCCTGTTGTTTTGGTGTTTGCTGAGGAGCAGAACGAGGGGCATGAGGCTCCGATTGCTCTTAGGTGGGAGCGGCCAGTGGATGAGAGCTGTGAGCTGTCTGTGTGGGATGCTGGAATCACAGGCTGGAGCTGCGGGTTCTAGGGAGACCGAGGCCCTCTGGGGGAGGTACACACGGGGTCTCTTTGTGCTGTGCACCGTGAGGCTGGGCTGCATAGCCGGGCTCGGGGATTGGATCCTGTCTGTACTGTCACTGTGTGGCCTCGGGCAGCTTGCTCACACTTGAGAACTGTGAGTAGGGACGGCACCTGCCAGGCCACGGGGTGGGGCTCAGTGAGGCCCTAGTGAGATGCTGTGGCGGTGCTGGCCTGGGACAGCACCCCCTTCACAGACCGCTGCTGCTGTCTGCATCTTCTGAAAGGGCTCTGCTCCTGACCATGCTGCGCTCATGCCCCAAACAGCTTTTCACCGGGATCTTCGGGGTTGGGGTAAAGACTGCTGACCGGTGGTACCGAGAAGGGCTGCGGACCCTTGACAGCCTCCAAGAGCAGCCCCAGAGGCTGACCCAGCAGCAGAAAGCAGGTGAGCCCTGTGAGAAAGGACAGGACCCTGGGCTCCCACACCATGGCACCCTCAGCATGGACACAGGGCATGTGCGGATGGCTGCCTGGATGGCAGGTAATGGGATCAGTGCAAAGGGCCCTGGTGGCAGGCAGGCCTCTCTGGTGGCCTCCCTGGTCTCCACCCAGTGGAATCCGGATCCACTGTAGCCCTTTTGCAGTGAACAGTGATGGTCACAGTAGCTGCTGTGACATTGAGGCCTCCTAGTGGAACTCAGATCTGGACCAGGCCCCTTACCACTTCTTACTGCTTCTCCTTTTTTTTTTTTTTTTAAATTTAAATCCAAGTTGGTTAATATATAGTGTAATAATGATTTCAGGAATAGAATGTAGTGATTAATCACTTACTTGTAACACCCAGTGCTCTTCCCTATAGGCGCCCTCTCCTTAATGACCATCCCCTTCTAGCCCATCTACCACCTCCCCTCCAGCAACTCTCAGTTTTTTCTCTGTTTAAAAGTCTCTTACTATTTGTCTCCTTCTCTGTTTTTATCTTACTTTCCCTTCCCTTCTCCTATGTTCATCTGTTGTGTTTCTCAATTCAACCTATGAGTGAAATTGTGATATTTGTCTTTTTCTGACTTATTTCATTTAGCAAAATACACTCTAGTTCCATCCATGTTGTTGTAAATGGTAAGATCTCATTCTTTTTGATAGCTGAGTAATACTCCATCATATATATAAATCACATCTTCTTTATCCATTCATCCATCATTGGACATTTGGGCTCTTTCCATACTTTGGCTATTGTTAAAAGTGCTGCTATAAACACTGGGGTGCGTGTGTCCCTTCGAAACAGCATTTTTGTATCTTTTGAATAAATTCCTAGTAGTGTACTTGCTGGGTTGTAGAGTAGTTTATTTTTAATTATTTGGGGAACCTCCAAACTGTTTTCCAGAGTGGCTGCACCAGTTTGCATTCCCACCAACAATGCAAAAGAAATCCTCTTTCTCTGCATCTTTTGTTGCCTGAGTTGTTAATGTTAGCCATTCTGACAGGTGTGAGGTGGTATCTCATTGTGGTTTTGGTTTGTATTTCCTTGATGATGAGTGATGTTGAGCATCTTTTCATGTGTCTGTTGGCCATCTGGATGTCTTCTTTGGAAAAGTGTCTATTCATGTCTTTTGCCCATTTCTTCACTGGATTATTTGTTTTTTGGGTGTTGAATTTGATAAGTTCTTTATAGATTTTTGGATCCTAACCCTTTATCTGGTATGTCATTTGCAAATATCTTCTCATATTCAATTGATTGCCTTTTAGTTTTGCTGACTGTTTCCTTCGCTGTGCAGAAGGTTTTTATCTTGATGAGGTCCCAATAGTTCATTTTTGCTTTTGTTTCCCTTGCCTCCGGAGACGTGTTGAATAAGAAGTTGCTGCAGCCAAGGTTAAAGAGGTTGCTGCCTGTTTTCTCCTGTAGGAATTTAATGGTTTCCTTTCTCACATTTATTCACCCATTTTGAGTTTATTTTTGTGTATGGTGTAAGAAAGTGGTCCAGCTTCATTCTTCTGCATGTTGCTGTCCAGTCTTCCCAACACCTTTTGCTAAAGAGACTGTTTTTCCATTGGGTATTCTTTCCTGCTTCATTGAAGATGAGTTGACCATAGAGTGTGTCCATTTCTGGGTTCTCTATTCTGTTCCATTGATCTGAGTGTCTGTTTTTGTGGCAGTACCATACTGTCTTAATGACTACAGCTTTGTAATACAGCTCCGAGTCCGAGATTGTGATGCCTCCAGCTTTGGTTTTCTTTTTCAAAATTACTTTGGCTATTCAGGGTCTTTCTGGTTACATACAAATTTTAGGAATGTTTGTTCTAGCTGTGTGAAGAATGCTGGTGTTATTTTGATGGGGATTGCAGACCCCTTACTTCTGATTCCAGGAAAGGGAGGCTGTGTCTGTGCCCTGTGCACACCTTGCTAGCATGGGGCTGGTGCCCTGGCCCACTAGGTGATGGTATGGGGACTTGTGTGGCAGGAGAGGCTCAGTACAGGGCTTGCATGGGAGGTGGCACCATGTGGTGGAATGAACATGAACTTAAGAGTTTGTCAGGCTTGGGTTTGAGTCCTGTCTCTGCAGCTTACTAGGTAGGTGACCATGGCCCTGAGACTTAACTTCTCTGAGCCTTGGTGACATTCTCCACAAATCATGGGGCTCTGTGAGCTCCTCTTTGTGAGGCCAGTGGGGAGTAGGTGTTAATCAGTGTCTCTGTCCTCTCCATGTGGCCCGGGGTGGGGGCCCCATTTGAGTTGTTCCGCAGCCCAGCACCCACCACTTCTTTGAACATCTTCCCTCGGGCTGGGGGTCATGGGAGGGTTGCCTGGACGGTCCACAGGAGGTGAGACCCATGGAGTCACGTGTCCAGTGGAACATTAAGTGATATCATCATTGACTGCACCCAGTCCCCTCTCCCCATGGTGCTGGAGAGATGGAGCCGCCAGCAGCACTTAGCCTGTGCGGCCACATGCTGTTACTCCCTGCTTAGATTTCTTATTGTGTGGAAAGTCCAGTGACACTCCCATGGTGGGGGCGGGGAGATAGGGCTACAGTGAGGGGTTCCTGAGTGGCAGAGCCACCTTCTTCAAGTGTTTATCACTTTCCAGGCCATTTTATGGATGGGAAAACCAAGGCATTCAAAGAGGTAGACTGCGTCGTGAGTGCACTTACATCAGCCTCCTGATGGGATGGAGAAAGTTCTGCAAGACGCTCCCATTGGGGAGAACTGGGCAGGGGGCTCAGGGGCTTCTGCCATTTCTTCCAACTACATGTGAATCTGCAGTTTCCTCTGAATAAAAGTTTACTATTTAAAAGAGAGGAGGGGACAGTGGAGAGCAAGACAGTGGGGCTGAGAAGGTCAGGAGAGCCGCACTGCCCACAGGACTCCGGCACTACCAGGACCTGAGTGTGCCACTCCAGCGACCCCAAGTGGAGGCCCTGCAGCGGGTGGTGGAGGCAGCCGTGGGGCACATCCTTCCCGGGGCCACCGTCACGCTGGCCGGGGGCTTTCGGAGGTAAGGGGGTCTGGCCTGCCCCTCCCACCCCAGTGAAGGCGCCTGAGGGGGGGCCACAGAGGTGGGCCTTCCCGCACTAGTGGGACCGGGGACAACGGGAGGCCCACGTATCCTTTGTTGGCCCGAACTCAGAGCGGGCCCCCTCAGGGGCAAGTTGCAGGGCCACGACGTGGATTTCCTCCTCACCCACCCCCAGGAGGGCCGGGAGGCAGGGCTGCTGTCCAGAGTGATGCACAGCCTGCAGAGTCAGGTGAGGAGCTGCCTACCTTGGGGGCTCTGCCGGGACCCGGGCCCTCCCCCCCACCCGCCGACACCACGCTGGGACCCACCACACCACCACTCCCTCCCCCAGGGCCTTGTCCTGTACCCTGCCACCACCGACCACTGATGCGAATGCAGCCTGCCACGCCCGGCAGAACCATGCCATGGACGGCTTTGAGAGAACCTTCTGTATCTTCTGCCTGCCCAGCCTTCTCCCAGGGCTGCTGACAGAGTAGGCATGCAGAGGAACCATCTTGAATGAACCTGGGTGGTGGTCCCTGTCAGCCAGTTCCCCTACGCCCTGCTGGGCTGGACCGGCTCGAAGGTAGGGGGCTTGCTACTGGGGAGCTGGTGGGGGCCCCTCCCGATCAGAAGGCCCCACCAGCTCGCTCTCTGCAGCATTTCAGCAGAACTACTGTAAAGCTTCAGCAGGAGAGGGTTGTGGCTGGTGCAACCATGGGCTGTTGACCCCCCAGCCACAGTGTGTGTTGCTGGGAGGAGCGACCTGGCCCACCCTGCCCCACTGCCACTGGCACTAAGGCTCCGACTCCTGTTGCAGAAACATTTCCATCTTGACCCGGGAAGATCTTCGAACACCTGGACGCAAGTGCCTTCCCCAAACGGAAATGCCTGACCAGCAAAGCTGGCCCAGTCTGCTCTCTGGAGGCAGGCCCTGTGGATGCCCTGGAGGCAGCTGGAGATGCCTCCAAAGATGCACTGTGGCCCCAGGTCACCAGGCCGGATATAATGAAGGAAATGAGCACTGCAATGTTTAAAACCAGCTCTGTTTTTTGTGCTGCTGGCTGCTTCCCAGGGTCAATGAGGTGCTGATTGTGTCACAGAGAGGGACCCATCACTGGGTGTGGTTGAGGCAGGCTGTGTGACCCTGGGTCAGTGAGGACCTGAAGGCACCTTCTCTGTGGGCTGGTTGTGGAACTTGTGAGGTGGCGGGATGGCAAGTGCTTTGTCAGAGTGGGGGTGGGGGTTGTCTGTCCCACCTGCTGTGTGGCCAGCTTCCCTGGGAGGACAGGGCAGAAGGTGAGCTGGGGGCAGGGGGGGAGAAATTTCCAGGGCCGTCTACCACCTGCCTTCCAACCAGGCTTCCTGTCTCTGCCTCACCAACTTCTTCTAAGGTCTGTTCTCCAGAAAGGCCTTTGTCAACAGGTCCTGTCACCACCCCTGTTGCTCCAGCACACACTGGTGCTCAGCGATTCCAAACCTCACAGTAGCCCCCAGAGCCTGGCCACCCCGACCACTGGCCTCATCTGTTCTCCCACTGCTTTGAGCCAGGTGCCTTTCGGTACTTATGTGAACTGCTTGGAGCACTGCACCCAGGCCAGGCCAGGTCTCAGCCTTTCCTGGAGGAGACGCCTTGGCCATGCAGTGATTCTCTGCTCCTCAAATCCCCAGGCCTGCTCCGGCCTCAGTGCCTTTGCCACAGGACCGATCCTGAGGCCTCTCTCCTGACTCGGAGTCTCTGTCTGTTGAGGACTTTCCTGACCACTAAGCTGTAATTATTTTTTTAGGGGCGCCTGGGTGGCACAGTCGGCTGAGCGTCCGACTTCAGCCAGGTCGCGATCTACATACGTCGTGAGTTGACTTAGCGTCGAGCTCAGGCTGATGGCTGAGGAGCCTGAGCCTGACATTCTGTGTCTCCCACCTCTCTCTCTGCCCCTCCCCCGTTCATGCTCTGTCTCTCTCTGTCCCAAAAATAAATAAACATTGAAAAAAAAAATTAAAAAAAAAAATTATTTTTTTAAATAACATGCAGACAAATTGATTCTTTTTGGTGTCCCTGTGTACACCCATTCCCCTCCACCATGCGAGCCCTAGAAATAAAACAGCCAGTTATTGTGCCAGCAAAACAGGTTTGTTTACTTGGGAATGACTGAGGGACAGTAATCTAGGACAAGTAACCTGATAAAACCAAAAGATGGGAACAGGAGGAACAGCCTTCCCTTTGGGAAGGGCTGTCATGTATGAAAGTCCGATGGAGATTCGGAGTTCGGGGTGGTGGTTTCTCACGGGCTGGGCTGGTGCCAGGACAAGGACCCTCCTCCTGTGGGCAGCAGGACAGGCTTCCCTGCCTTCCCTTCCTCTGTGCTGTCAGCACAGAGCCTGACCCAGGGCTCAAACTCACAACCCAGGGATCATGACCTGAGCCAAAATCAAGAGTCAGACAGGGGCTCCTGGGTGGCTCAGTTGGTTAAGCATCCAACTCAGTTTTGGCTCAGGTCATGATCTTGTGGTTTGTGAGTTCAAGACCTGCATTGGGCTCTGTGCGGAAAGTGCCGAGCCTGCTTGGGATTTTCTCCCTCCCTCTCTCTGCTCCTCTCCCACTCTGTCTGTCTCAAAAATTCTCCCTCTCTCTGCTCCTCTCCCACTCTGTCTCTCTCTCAAAAAAAAAAAAAAAGGTCGGACACTTAACTGAACCACCTAGGCACCCCTAATTTTCATTTTAAGTAAGCTCCGTGCCCAGTGTGGGGCTTGAACTCACAACCCTGAGATCAAGAGTTGCACACTTGGGGCGCCTGGGTGGCTCAGTCAGTTAAGTGTCCAACTTTGGTTCAGGTCATGATCTTGTGGTTTGTGGTTTTGAGCCCCGTGTTGGGCTCTGTGCTAACAGTTCAGAGCCTGGAGCCTGCTTTGGGTTCTGTGTCTCCCCTCTCGGCCCCTCCCATGCTCATGCTCTGTCTCTTAAATAATAAATAAAACGTTAAAAAAAAAAAAAGTTGCATGCTCTACTGACTGAGCCAGCAGGGAACCCTTATCTTTTGTCTTTTCGATAATAGCCATTTTAACAAGTGTGAGATGATACCTCGTTGTTTTGATTTGAATTTCCCTGATGATTGGTGAGTTAGAGCATCTTTCCATGTGTCTGTTGGCCATTTGTGTGTCTTCTCTGGGAAAATGTCTATTTGGTTCTTCTGTCCATTTTTTATTAAAATTTTTTTTAACGTTTATTCATTTTCTGAGAGAGACAGAGTGTGTGGGGGGGAGGGGCAGAGAGAGAGGGAGACACAGAATCCGAAGCAGGCTTCAGGCTCTGAGCTGTCAGCACAGAGCCCAACGCGGGGCTCGAACTCCTGGAATGTGAGATCATGACCTGAGCCGAAGTCGGACACTTAACGACTGAGCCACCCAGGTGCCTCTGTCCATTTTTTAATCAAATTGTTTGGCTTTTGCCATTGAATATATGAGTTCTTTATATAACTTCTATATTAACCCCTTGTCAGATACAGGATTTGCAAATATTTCCTCCCATTTCATAGGTTGGTTGCCTTTCCATTTTGTTGGCTGCTTCCTTTGCTGTGCAGAAGAATTTCAGTGTGATGTCCCACTTACTTATTTTTGCTTTTGTTACATTTTGATTTGACATCCAAAAAATCATTGCTAAGATATCCTTCCCTGAAGTCAGAACCGAGGTTTGCTTCCAGATACACGTGATGGTAGCACCTTACAACTTCTAGCCCTTGACTATGATATATCCTTGGCATTTCCCAGCCCCACGCTGATCAGACCCCAAGTTCAGGTCTAAAATAGTGATATAGAAGGCTCCTGAACTCACTTTCTTCTCTGGATACACCAAATCTGCAACACAGAAGCAATTTCCTCTAAAAAGAAATCCAGAAACTAGCTGAACAATTCCTACCTACTGGACAAAATGAGAATATCCACATCAAGATGGGTCACCAGTGTCTCCCTGGAAGGAGCTCATGCACATATCTGGTGCATCCAGAGGACATACCCCTTGATCACCTGGTTCTGGTGGCCGGTGGGGTTTGCATTTGCAGGGCCCCACAGACCTGTTCAAAGAAACCATTCTTAACCAGCTATCCATCCAGGGTTCAGCACAGAGTACGCAGACCGAAATCCTATCTCCCAGGCCTTCCACAAAAGAGGCCTGTTTGTCTATGAAAGCTGCAGCCTGGGGGTCAGGCTTCTAATTTAGCACACATCTATGGCTGAGCCTCCCCTCTGGGACACTGACAGGCCTTGGCACACTTTCAACCACTGGAACAACTATGAACAAAGAAGGTGCTTGGGCAATCACGAAAGTTTGAGAGAATCGAGAGCTTGGGCTGGGCTGAAGGATAAGGTCCATCCCCTTCATAGACCCCCCCATCAAACCTTGGAGAGGTGGCTGTTTTGTCTAATACACAGAAATCAACACAGAGTCAAGGAAAAAGAACAGAGGAATATGTTCCGAACCAAAGAACAAGATAAAACTCCAGAAATAGACCTTCATGATATGGAGATTAGTGACTTAGCTGATAAAAAGTTCAAAATAATGGTCATAAAGATGCCCACTGAGCTCAGGAGAATAATGCATGAACAAATGAGAATTTCAACAAAGACATGAAAATTATAAGAAAATACCCAACAAACCACAGAGCTGAAGAATACAGTAACGGAACTGAGATTCAACAGAGGGGTTCGGCAACAGACTATATAAAGCTGACTCAGATGAATCACTGGATTCTACTCCTGAAACCAATATTGCATTGTATGTTAACTATCTAGAATTTAAATTAAAAAAAAAATTAAAGCTGACTTGGGCGTGCCTGGGTGGTTCAGTCAGTTGAGCATCTGACTCTTGATTTCAGCTCAGGGTTGTGTGATTGAATCCCATGTCGGGTTCTGCACTGAGTGTGGAGACTGCTTAGGATTCTCTCTCTCCCTCTGTCCCCTCCCCAGCTTGTGCACTCTCTCTCTCACTCAAGAAAAAAACAAAAACTTACTTGAAGACAGTACAATGGGATTCATCCAATTAGAGGAGCTAAAAGAAAGAAACGAAAAAGAAGATAGCTTAAGGGGCTTATGGGACACTACTCAAGTAGGCCAAAATGTACATTATGGGGTCCCAGAAGGAGGAGAGAGAAAGAAGGCTTATTGGAGAAATGGCTGAAAACTTCACTAACCTGGGAAAGAACTATCCCGATCCAGGAAGCCCATAGAGTTCCCAATAAGATGAATTCAAGGAAACCCACACCAAGACACATTTTAATTAAGCTGTCACAATTTAAACACAATGAGAGAATATTAAAAGCAGTAAGAGAAAAATAACTGGTTACATAGAAGGGAACCCCCACCTCCCCTAAGACCATCAGATTTCTCAGCAGAAACTTTTCAGGCCATAAGGGAATGTCATGGTATTTTCAAAGTGCTGAAAGAAACAAAACAAAAAAACCCAAAAAAAGCCCTTCTGGTCAAGAATACCATACCTGGCAAAGTC